TTCTCAAAAGAAATCTTACAGGCAAGAAGAAGCTGGAAAAAATTATTTCAAGTCATGAAAGGCAAGGACCTACATCCAAGATTACTCTATCCAGCGAAGTATCATTTATAATGGAAGGGCAGTTAAAGTGCTCCCCAGATAAGGTCACGTTAAAGAAATTCATCATCACCAAGCCCTTATTATATGAAATATTTAAAAGGACTTATCTAAGAAAAAGATAAAAAACTATAGTGAGATGATAACACTCACAACTATGAACAACCAGACCTAAAAAAAACAAAAACAAACTAAGCAAACAACTAGAACAGGGACAGAATCATAGAAATGGAGATCACATGGAGGGTTATCAGTGGGGTGGGGGAGGAATAAGAAGCATAATTTGTAGGTACAAAATAGACAGGGGGGAGGTTAAGACTAGTATAGGAAGTGGAAAACCCAAAGAACTTCTATGTACAACCATGGACATGAACTTAGGTCGGCAGGGAGAGAGTGAGGGTGGGAGGGGACATGCAGGGTGGAGGGGAATAAAGGAGGGAAAATGGGACAACTGTAATACCATAATCAATAAAATATATTTTTTAAAAAGAATATATGCTCCTCTATATTTGTTGCAGCATTATTGCAGATATGGAAGCAACCCAAGTACACATCAATTGGATAAAGAAGTTGTGATACATATAAACAATGGACTATTACTGGGCCATAAAAAATGAAACATTACCATTTGTGACAGCACGAATGGACCTAGAGGGTATTATGCTAAGTGAAATAAGACAGACAGAGAAGACAAATTAACAAATTATTTCACTTATATGGGGAACCTAAATAACAAAATAAACAAATCAAACAAAAACAGATTCGCAGGTACAGCGAACAAGTTGAGGGTTGCCAGAGGGGAGGGCTGGGGGACTAGGTGAAAAAAGGTGAAGGGAGTAAGAAGTTACAAAATAGTCACAGGAATGTAGAGCACAGAATGGGAAATACAGTCAATAATATTGTAAAAACTATGAATGGGGCCCGGTCGGGGGGGATTTGTGAGCTGTATAGTTGTCTAACCATTATGCTGTACACCTGAAACAAATATAAAATAAAAATAAATAAATAAGGTGTCAGGGAATTCTTCAAAGATCAGCAGCTTGGAAGTTATGACATTAAAAGGATAAATAATGAGATGCCACCAACAAGCTCTACCTGATTTTTCATTAACTGTAAAGCAGAATTTACACCAAAGCCCTGATAAGAATCAGTGATGAAAACTGGAGGTAAGGACATTGACATCTGGCAAATTGGAGCGCATTCACTCCATCCAAAGGCATTCAAATTCCTTTTTTTTTTTTCACTAAGCACTAGCTGGACAAACAAAATGTACCTGCAGACAGCCCATTCACAACCCCTGAGACAACACCATGAAATAAGACAGAGCTCACCTGAAGTTGGGTAGACAAGGACGTGTGACGGAGGAACCCAGAGGTGAGCTGCAGATGAAGGATGGACCCACGAGAGAGCGAGGGTTTCCAGGCAGGGACAATGGGGCCGAAGAGGAGCAGGCAAGAGAGCGCAGGGAGTGCTGAGTGGTGGCGAGTAAACCTTTGGGAGTCAGTCAAATCCAGCACAATTTGAAGGAACCAAAGGAATGGTGAATAATCAATTAATAAAGCAGGATTGAGGGTGCAGGGCCATGAACACTAGGCACAGACTCTGTAATCTCATCTGTGGGGACTGGGGGTCATTAAAGGTCACTGAGCAAGACAGGGACATTACCAAAGCCCTAGTTTAGGAAGACCCACATGGCGGTGGTGAGGAAATGAGTAAAGCAGGAGTGTTCAGAACTAAGACATTAGGAGGCTGCTCTCGGCCAGTTCGAGGGTAAGGTGACAAAGGCCTTGTTTAGTGGCAGTGAGAAGGGAGGACATGGATGGGAATCAGATTGATGTGGAAGGCGATGAAAAGGAAGCCAGGTCTACCTTGAGAAACTGGGTTAGGCAGTTCGGCACAGTCATTGTCTACAGCCAGCAGCCTCACTTCAAACTCCAACTCTGACACTTAGATGCTGGGAGCCCTTGGGCAAGTCACCTAACCTCTCTGTGCCTTGTTACACACCTCTAAAGTGAGGAGAATGACCGTGGTCCTACTTCGTAGGGCTCACAAGATGGATTACCACATAGGCCAAATCAGTGAACGCACTTAAGGTGCTTAGCCCAACCTTGGCACGTAGAGAGCTCTCAATAAATAACTGCCACTAATGAATGGAGAAGCCTTGTAGGCTTGCTCATTCTTCACTTTCCTCCTGAATGAAATGCTGAGAATAGTCATAAAGGGGTATCCAGTTAAGATACAAGATAGCAAGTTCTATTTAGATACAGTCTCTTGCTGGATTTTTGCCTGAAAACATAAAATGCTATTGACACGACCCAGGATGCTCCTGCCAGGGGAACCTGGGCCTTTCACCCACAACTGGCTTTTCCGAAGCATTCCAGGGGCCCAGTCCACCCTCGCCCTCAGAATCCGCACTGCCACTGTACTGACAGACATGGGGGTGGGGGGGTGGCAGGGACCGGTATGCAGCCTCCCAGATCTGCTGACCTCACCTTCATCCCAACTGTCAGAGGCCCTTTCAGAAGAGAGGCTTAGTCCCTATATGGACTCTGGGCCTTTAGGCCTCGGAGAAGGAGGCCCCCCTAAGTGTCAGGAATGCGGTGTCTTTGCTGCGGTCATTTTCCACCACGCTGCATGACTCCTGTTCTCCCTTGGCCCACAGGAGTAGCCGTGGAATAAGAGCCCCCTTTTGTCTACACTGGGAAATGCCCCCATCCTCTAACACTCTTATGAGGTGCCGCTGTTGCACTGGGAAAAATCCCAGTATTCTCGAAGTGGACTGGAGTGAGGGCAACCAGGGGTCACCAGGGGACATGTGAGGGTCCTTTAAGTTATAGGGAGCAAGCACTGCTCGGATGGATCACAGCTGCCAGGTCATTGTCCCCAGGGTGGGAGGGGGGGTGAAGTCCAGGAAGCAGTTCCCAGGTCCCTCTCAGCCAGGGGCAGAGGAAGGTGTGTGCAGCAGGTGTGACCCACTGATCCAGTCCTGGCACCTCCATTCCACAGAGAAGGCAGATTTGAATGAAACTGTTCTGTCCTTCTGAGCTTCAGAGGCAATGTAGCCATCAGTGACCCCCTCCTAGCCCTTGTCATTGGGGATGGTGTACAGAAAAAGACCTCTTCTTCCTCATTGCCACTCTTCCTCCAAAAGGGCAAGACTACTTGTTCTGAAGTCAAATTGCCTTGAAAGGCCTCCAGAATGGCCAACTGAGGGTTTTGTCTCCTCTTCCGAGGAAACAGGAGAGTGTAACAATTACGCTACTGAATGCTTCGCTGTGTGCTAAGTTTGAAGCCCTCGGAGCAGCCCGGGGAGGGTGGGACGGTGACCATCCGCATTCTCACCCAGTCTGCACAGCCGCAAGGGTCAGAGCCAGGCTGTAAACCTGAGGAGTCTGGCTCCAGTGCATCCTCCTCTATGAAATGGGAGCGATAGAGCTTCAGCAGCCAAGGACGGTCAGGGATGCACAAAGCCTACAAAAGGAATTATTTTTCTTGGGTCTAGTTTGGTGCTAATAGATGGTTCATTAAATTGCTATTTTTTTTTAAGACACACAGACACTGGTACCTCTCCCAATCCAATAATAGTTGCTATTTAAGTCAACCCCAGAAGCCCATGAATTAGGGTTAGGGTGGGGCCCTAAATCAATGGTGTCTGGAGCTCCCCAGGGCTCCTCCAAGGGACACACTCCCCCACTGGCCACAGTCATGAGGCATCTTTGGCCCATCACGGGGTGCTGGGTATGCTTGAGGTGGAAAGATTGGAGGACGCCCTGGCCCCCAAGGCTGTATGGAAAAGTAGTGGGAATACTGTGTTATAAACTGAACTTTTGTATTCCCCTAAAATCCCTCTGCTGAAGCCTAAACCTCCAATGTGGCTGTAGTTGGAAACGGGACGTCTAAGGAAGTAGTTAAGGTTAAATAAGGTCATAAAAGTCGTGCGCTGATCTGATAGGATTAGTGTCCATATAAGAAGAGACACAAGAGATCTCCCCTCCTCCCACACACACACACAGAGGAAAGGCCAAGTGAGGATACGGCAAGAAGGCAACGTCCCCGAGTCAGGAAGAAAGCCCTCGCCAGGAACCAAACCCTCCAGAACCGTGAGAATTAAATGAGCGCTGTTTAAGTGCCCTCTTCAGTGGCATTTTGTGCTAGCAGCCCAGGTGGACTGTGTTTCACCTGGGGGTTCATCCTGTGTTTCCTGGAGGTTTCCTGGCCTGGCCTTCATTCCTGCCGTGGGGGAGCCTGTCCCCCACTCCCACTCCCAGTGCCCGCCCCCATCAGCACCCTGCTGCAGAACCTTCTCAGACTACAGCGCCCAGAGTGAGTGACTGTGCACTCTCAGGAGACCTCGCTGGCAGGCGCAGCAGCAGCAAGACAAGGAAGCCTTGCTCCCACCACGAGACTTGCCATGTGTTTCTGGGGCTTAAAATAAAACACGAGTAACTTCCCAGATGGTGAGGCAACATTTTACAACCCAGAGGCAACTGCGGCTGCTTGAAGCTGGTAGTCTGCTTAGCAGGGTGCTCTTTAGAGTGACAGAACTAACTAGGACCCATTCAGAGTGGGCAAGGATCCATGAGTCCACCAGGCCAACTGCGGAGCGATGTGGTTCTCGCAAACTGCAGAGACTCGACATGCTATTATTCATCAAGATTTCTCCCCTTCCCTTCCAATTCAAGGTTGGCCCTTCTTTTTAATAAAATTACTTTCTTATTTCTGCACATTTTCCTTTGCTGGGCAGAAATTCTTGAGTTCTTTCCATAGGTACCATCAGAACAACCGAGTTCATTACATCCACTAGTTGACCTTTTCCTTAAACTCCTCCTAGGATGGCAGAAAGTCCTCAGAGAATATGGATGTGGGCCATGTATGGAGGTTGAATTATGAACAGAAAAACTTCCTGTGGGGTGTATTTTTTAATGAGAACACATTGTTATACTGTGAGTGTGTGGCATTCTTGCTGAGTAGAAACACATGCACAAGAACACATACACATTTGTATCCAAACACCAAATGAAGTAGGTAACTTTAAATGACCAGTTTGCATCAGAAATAAAATATATTATACAAAATGGGGGTTATATCCACAGTCATTAATTCTCATTTTCTACACAACACAACAATAAATTAAATCACATTATATGCAGATAGTTCTACTTACATTAGAATAGAAATTGTATGTAGCTTGTGCAGCTCTTACTTTGTTTCTACCAGAATCACGGTAGGTTTGTATTTAAATTAGCAATGACTAATGCGGCCCAGGAGACAAGGGCTGCAGAAGGACTCCTCCACTGTGTCCACACCAAGCCCCCTGGGTTCCACCTCGCCACCACCCACAGAGAACAGAGCTCAGACTCCCAGACCCAGCAGAGAGGTCTGCAAACTCACAGCCTCTCCAGGCTGTTGAGGGCACCCCATTGCTACTTTGTAAGTAAGACACACCACAATGAACATGTTCAGATTTGGTATTGAAGAATATATGGGACATCCTGCTTCAAAATCCAAAATCTCCTTCCTCAACCTTCTCTGCCCTGTTACTATGTGCTATGATGGCTTTGCTCTCCTGGCAAACAGAAAACAATCTGGTAGCCTATGTTGTGACTTACCCTTGGTGAAGGGCCCTTTACTCCTTGCTGCATAGAAATCTAGGTCTTTTACATGTGAATCAGAACAACACAGCATTTTTTGCCAAGTCTTAATTCTACTTGTTCAAATCTCTCCTGCAGGAATCACCCTACACCTGACACATCAAAGAGCTAGTGTAACCCATGGGTTTTTACTTCCGAGACTCAGCTCCCATGGAAACCCTTCCCCTGTGTTTGAAACAGCTTAAAACATGAACATAGACAGCATTAGCTCATTTAGAACTGCTTCGCCTTTGGTATGAATCAACTCTAGTGGTTAATGAGAAATTTGAACAAACTCCAATTCAGCGCCTTTGGAAAGTCACTCTGACCCTGGAATCTAGCTGTGGGGTTTGCCTGCAGGAGCTCTCTGGGAGGTCAACACGCTGAAAACCAAAGTCAGGTTTCCTGGAGTCCACGCACGTCACGGGGTTGACCTGCCCCAAGGGCGTGTGTGGTCAAGCGAATGTAAGGGTTCTGATCACAAGCCGGCTCCATTCCCACAGCCGGCACTGTGCTGTCCTCTCTCCCTCCGTGGAAGTATGGCAGTCCTGCTGCAAGTTTCGCCTGCATGGGCAAGATGCTGATGCCTTTTTGGAGCCATGGTGGAGGGAGAGTAGGGGTGGGGACGAAGGGGAGGGGAGGCCGTGGCAGGTTGCCCTTGTATCCTCTTCTGTTTCATTTGGACATTCGAGCTCCTGATTCTTCTCGCCAGATGTGGCCTAAACTTCTTGCTGAGTCTGGCTGTTGGAGAGGGACTAAATGATTGGTTATCCCGTGCCCCTAAAGACCAACTGGAAGAGAAACAGCACCATCTCTTTCTGCTGCCACACTGCCCCTAAAATATATGCCATGTTTTTAAGACAATTTCAGTTTCTTTCCACAGAAAAAGAAGTTCAGTTCATTATCAGCTTCCTCATGAAGCATTCAACCACAGGGTGTAACTGAACAAACCCATGAAACATAGACCAGAGGACCTAATTTTGATTGTCATTCAGCTTTCTCACTGCATGAATTCAGCATCTAAGTTATTTGTGTCCCAAGGAACATAGGTAGGCATGCCATTTGTTTATTAACTCTCCCATAACACCGGTAGCCCTTCCACAAATGGCCACTGTATACTCACTCACAAGAAGGGGATACCCCTGGAACCTATTTTTCGAATTCCTGTCCCCGTCTGTATGAGGTCTTCACCATGGCCTTCATTTCACTGCCAGCAGCCTATCTTACCCTCCCCAACCCATGGCAGTGAGGAGGAAAGTGGTGAATTCAGGGCAAAGACTGCGCAGGTGCCTGGAAGAAGTTTATGACCCTAGAAGCCTGTGAATAGAGAGCAGTGTCTGGACATAAAGTCTTTGAATTTCAGGAATTCGTTTCCATATATTCCTCTCCTCCCTCCATTCAACATCGCTTCTCAAATGTAAAGAACTATTTTAAAGCCTGTGGAACCATATCTGTGGTTCAGGAAAGGACAAGCTAATGGTTCTTCGGAGAAACATAATGTTTACAGGGGCTTCCTCGTGGAACCTGTGGTCAGTCTGGGGGGAGATATGCACTCTAAACAGAAAGTGTTTTCTGAGTCCAGGGGGAAAAAATCTGAGAAGGTGACAGTGATGATCGTAAAACCTGCACTTATTCCCAACACTGTGGGTATGTACAAAAGTGCGTACTTTGACCTGTCTCCACGTCAGCCGATGTTTGGCCAGATGAGAAAATGCTGATGAAGTATCTCTTTCTAAACCTGAACACCCTGGGCTTCAGGGTAAAAATTTATAGAATGATTTAAGAACTAAAGCCCTATTTATTTTTCTGTATGATCTATGGCTACTGGCGGAGTATAAATGACTAGTTGTCAAAGATGTTGCTTAGCAGTTAGGAACTCAACTCCAAAATGTTAATCTCCACAGGTCTGAACCCAGGGTAACCTGGGGCCAAACACCTACACTTTTAGCACAGATTTCCAACCGAATGGAGTTTTCAAAATGTAAGAGAGGTTTGGTACTCATGTGATGATTTCAAGGAAGAAATAATAGATAGCAGATATAACCAATCAATCTTAAGAAGCCTAGAACTGCTTTAAGATTGGACGAGAATCACATCCATTTATGAGAAAGCTCATGATTTATATGACGTTTTTAAGACTAAGTTCTCACTTATTTTTATGATTTTATCTGGAGATAATAGTATAAGTTTAGAACTATTCCTCTACCTAAAGTAGAAATAAAAGACATTTGCTGTAAAAATGTTCGAGTTAACAGGCCCTTATGTAGATGACGGAAAGGTCAGAAATGTTTAAACACAAAGACTGCAACCAGGTAGTGTTTTTCCCCCTGAAATAAGCACATAGGCTCAAAATTTAAATGTTTCTTTACAAAGACAAGATAAATGAAAATGAATATTTCTAAAATATATGAAAACATTGCTGAAAAATAAACATTAGAGAGAAGTAAGTTCTCCATTCACAAAAATAAACTGGATGCAATCTTCCGTTCTGTTTTCGCTTTGAGGATCCTGAACAGTTCAATGCTTTGTTCTCTTCCTGAATGTTACTTCGAGTCTTCTCTTCCTACATTAGAATTGCTGCAGCTCACCTTTCTTGCTCTCCTTTTTTCCACCCTTTTTGAATGCAGTACTTCTTTCCTTTGCCTCTCACATGGACACTACCACCTAGTTGTTTCAGTTGATCATCATTAATTCTTTTATTACGTCCTCCAGCTGCATAACATTTTTTAACTATAAGAGGGACATACTTCACCCAGAAATAATCCATTCACTGTGACTGGCTGAAGTAGGGGTGACAAAGGCCAACTCTTCCAGGAAGCAATCTGGGGCCAACTTGCAAGACACACAGCTTTTACTCATCTGCCTCCGCTGTTACCTGTGCGGACTACGACCACCACAACAGAGGAGTTGCTCAAGCTCCCCTTTTTACACAGGGTCTTTTGTGGACACCAAGATAATGTTTAAAACTATTTCCCAGACGCTCAAAATGTCATTGAGGACCAAGTGACACAATTACAAGGTGGCATGCTAACCCCACGATGTCTCATTCTTCCTTCACCATCTATTGTCTCCACAAATCATAAACTCAAAGTGGCAACCTGAATGTAAAGCTATGTGCAGAGCACTGGGTACAAAGCAGATGTTCAGTGACTACTTACTCGACTTTGTCCGAATTCCTTACCTCCACACCCACAACCACTATCACGCAGGCTATTAGTGGGTGATTACAAAACATTATGGAGTTAACTGAAAGGGAATATACTAGCTATTTAGATTTCCTCTTTTAACCATCATCACCACTGTAAATTTTAGTAAAATGTTAGAAGTGAATTTTTAAAATTTTTCATCTCTGTGCCAACTGTCAAGTTCTAACTCTCTATAATGTTTTTCTTGAGGAAAAAGGCTGTCTCCCCTTATAAAATCCTACTTAATTCTAGTCAATTTCACCCTTGATCCTGAAATTTATCATTTGGCCAGAATTGGAAGAGGCCTAGCCCTACTCAAGTTCATGGACTCCTGTTGAGTCTGTAATCTGAGTACATTTCTAGGTCTCCGCAATTGAAACAGCAACTTGCATTTGGGTACGGCCAAGGGGAGCAGGGCAACGGGGAGAAAAAGAGAAGCCTCTTTCATCGTTGTTGGCTTGTCGTGCACTTTACCCATGCCTTTCAGATATAAGTGAAATACAATCTCCAAAATGAAAAAATAGACACATTTTCTAATAGCAAAATATAAGATTAAAATACTAAAACTGAAGTGTTAGTGCGAAACAGTTTTTTACATTTAAAAAATGAAACATTTTAGATTTGTTTTTCCTGTGTAAGCCCTCTCATCTCAGTGATAGTTGCCACTGCCCCAAGCAGCTGTTATTGAGACACTGAAGGGGGCAGGGAGGAAATCTTTCAAGATATGAAGTCGGGGCCTGAATGTATACATCGGACAGAGCCGTCCTCCACTCAAGTTGGCTGGCCAGCTCTAGGGAAAGGAAGGCTGTATTTCCAACCTGAGATTTTTCATTACATTTTCCTCTTCTTGGGTGTTAAGTTCTTTCTAAGATTATTCTACTTGTAAAAATGATTTTATTCTACCTATAAAACATTTCCTTTAAGGAACCACATTTTATAGCCTTGTGTGACATGCCCCCAAAAGCCATCAAGATGTGGAGACATCAGATTCTCAAAATATAAATCAAATCATATGCCCTTAAAACAGTATGAATGTTTAACAGAGTGACATGATATTCTCATATTTGTTTGTCATGAGATGAAAGGCCAGGAGGCATATGGTGATTAATAATAGTTCCTGAGCTTCTAAAGAAATTTTACAACAAAATGACTAAATGCTTAAAAGAATGAATTCTTCAAGAGCCCCTCTGTCCCATGGATGCCTTTCATCCCATCAATCTCCTCAAAGAATCTCAGGCCGAAAGAAAAAGCTTCCTTTTAAGCCACCGAAAAATGGGATCTGATGGAATCTTCCCGTAACTCCCGATGTTTTCCAATGTGACTTTCTTCTCGCTGGTTTCTTCTCTCAATGGTTATTCTGTATTTCTTCCTGGGTACAGGGAAAGTGAATGTAGTAATAAAAACCTCGCTGGGCTACAAAATACTATGGTTTCTCTTACAAAGAATGCCCTCAAGGGACATCTGGGTTTGGGTTGATAAATGAGAAGTGACAGAATATGAAACCCTGGTCAGAGATTAAAGTAGTGTGCCCCAAAGCAACATGCCCCTTATTCAAGGAAGAGAATTGGCCTGCTTTCCAAAATGCCATGGAACAAGCCTTCCCTTTCTTCCCTGGGCACCTGGTGGGTTCAGTCTTGTCTATTCTGCCACAGGAGCTCCCCCAGCTCCCAGGATAAGCCCTAGATAAAGATCAGATTACATGTACTGTGACCAAAGAAGCAGGAATACAATTGTTCCCACAAAGAGTCACATACACCCAGAAGTACATTTCCATGCAGAAATGAAGAAATCATGCTCTAATGACTTAAAACTAAGCCACAAACTCAACCACCAAAGATTACAAAGGAATGGACCGCCCTCGTGGTGTGAAATTGTCAGTATCTTGGACACACAGAAATATGACATTTTTACAAGACTCGGGGCTTAACCACAGTGGTAACCAAGTGTGTGGGTTCTCCAAACACTGAGTGCAGACCAGCCTGAGTGTATGGACCGCCCCGAGCTGCCACCTCCTCTTCAGAAGGTAAACCAGGCCCCCATTTCTGACCTGGAAAAGCCTGAGAAGGGGTCATCTTCTTCCCCTTTGTCCAGATTCCCTCTCCCCTACACAATTAGTGGGTGGTAGAAATTTGGGTCAGAATACTTGTCATGAAAGGACAGCAGCACCTCTGTGGCTCCCAGGGGGGAGGAAGTATAAACCCTTGCGCCTCTCCCTAGGATGCTAGCCCACTGACCACCAAACCAGGTGTCATGCCAAAAGATGGGTTTGTTCTTCTAACCACCATGCTTTGGGGGTTAAGAGCAGGATATGGGCAAGTCGCCGAGGGATCATGCAAAGGCAAGTGACAATGGCAGTGATAGAGTGAATTTTTAAACCCTATAATGAGGTCCTAACCTGAAAAAGTAGAAAGCCATGAGCAAACCAGCTCCTAGTAAGGCCCCCACAACGATTCCTGTCACCGCTGATTCTTCTAGGCCACCTGCTTGAAAAAGAAACATAGATAATCAGAGCTCATTTTGAGAAACAGTTAGAAATGCCCCTTCTAACTTTTCATTCATTGAAAGCTTCCATCCACTGGAAGGTATTTCTCAATTTCCCACTTGAGGCAAGTTTGCCTTTCTTTTCAAGAAAGATTTCTAGGGGGTCCTGCATTTTCCAAGTGCAAAGCTTAAGAAGCGTTTGAGAAAATACTAGATGAAAAAAAAAAAAACACTGCAACAAGACAGTGACTGCAGTGGGAATAAAGCCAGTCCAAGAAGGATCTGAGGAAAACTGGAAACTGAAGTTTCAGACCTATCCATGCTTGTTCAAGTTCACAGTCAGAGAGGACAAGTGGACAGACCTCAGAACTGACCTAGTGCTTCTTACTTCCGCAGATGGACAGGGCCACTTCAGAGTGCTGGAAGGTTTGGTGAAAACTTCACTGGGTTCATGTTCTGTTTTTAGAAGTTCTCTCACCAAAGCCAGAGTTCTGTGTCAAAATGTCCTATATAGCTTTGTGAAAATGTGAGTAACAGTTCGAAGCAATCAAGTTCAGCAGCGTCCCAGTTATTATATAAAAATGATAAGTAGCTAGCTTGTCTAAAGAGTTCAGGATACAGCCTTTAATGCATCATCTTATTTAATCCTCAAAACAGTCCTAAGAGTTGGGTACATTTCTTTCCTTTTATATGCGGGAAAAGAAAGGCTTGAAAAAGTACGGGAACACTCCTGAGGTCACAAAAGCAGTAAGTGACAAGGCTGGGATTTCAAATCCAGGCCCAATAACTCCGGAGACTCTGTCCTTAACACACTCTGCCTCAGCCCTTCCCACAGATTGAAGGCTGTTCCCCAAAACACAGTGTGTACACCTGTATTAACACAAGTGACCACCTGGCCTGAAAGAGTGATATTAGCTTTATCCTTCCTCACTGGCCTATAAAAGGGTCTTTCTGAAGCAATGACACCCCCAAATTTTCCTATTTGTAACCCCCTTATAAGAACATCTACTCATTTCTATGTCAGTGGCAAGGCTGCCCATGAATAACAGATTTAATTAATGCTTATTTGCGGATGTATAAAGCGGTGGATGTTTAAGGGGCATCATCTCCTTGGTTCTGAAGGGTTGAAGGGTAACTACCAACTCTGAACGTCACAAATGAGACTTGCTACAAGAGATGAGTGACTGAGTGACGTCCAGTGTTTGATATTTCCATTTTCTCTGAAGGGGCAAACTCAGATTCTGAGTGTAGTTCCCTTGTTCACCTCTTCTAGCAAGTCTCATTCTGATTTTCAGTTTACTTATCATAAAAGATACAAAAATGGGGAGAAACCTTTTACCAGCTTAGAAAAGGATGGAAGAGGAAAGACCTAGAAGCTTCTGAAAAAGGTGGGATGTCAGTTGGTGAATCATTCCCATGGGTTTCCCACATCAGAAAAAGAAATCTGAGCTTCCAGAACGTGAGCTCCCAGATTACACGTCTCTCAAACTGGCGTCACCCTGACACTCTCGACCACGGAACCCGGAGTGAATTAAGGCTCTGAACTTACATGATTTGCAGGGAGAGCTGTTGGCGTGCTCCACAATCCTGGTTTCATCTATTCTCAGTTTCAAAGGTCCCCAAGGATATTTGATGTTGGGCCGCATTTCGAAACGACCTTCTTTTCCGAAGTAATCTCCGATAACCTGTATAAAGGCAAAACAAAGGTATACAAACTGAGAGGTCAAAGTTACCTCTTCCCAAAGGAGGCACAGGGTGGGCTCCCCTACGGTGCACACTGACCCTAGCGGTGTGTTTCCAAGGATTTCGTAAGTCAGGTTGCCCATGTGCTCTTAAAGTGAGCATAACTTAGGGACAACTGTGGTTTCCTCAAGGCAAGGAAAGTAGTGACTTACACAGAAAACAAGAACCTTGGAATTCAGGGCTTGTCCCTTGCTGATCCAAGAGGCCACAAAACAGCCCCCACGGCCAGGCAGCCATTGGGAAATCCAGGGCTCAGAGAGGCACTCACAGGCCCACGGCCTCACAGCGCTCAGTCACCTCCGCCTACAACTGAAGCATTACAGAAAGAGTCTCTTCTAGGAACTTCCTTTTCCCCCTCCTCTAGTGGCGCAGCTACTCCTCATCCTGACTTTGGGGATGACATTCTCCTCGCTGATCAATTTACCCTATTTGCACCCCATTTCCAGGCTGAACTCTTTTTCAGTTGGCTCCTCTGGTTCCTAAAAGAGCAGTGTTCTTTTACACGCACTTCAAGGCTCTCTTTCAGCTTCTAGTTTAAGTGATGTTTCCTCCCACCAGGTTCCCAGGGACCGCTTCTCTTTTGTCTGGGCACAAACACAGTGCCCCAGAGGGGCCCAGTGGCATCTCCAGGGACCAGGCGCAGCAAGTGATCACAGGCTATTCCATATCCTGGTAAAAAGAATTCTAGATAATCTCCCAAACACAGTAACCATTGGCGCACACTGAGAACCTACCAAGTACTTTACACACGTGCACTCCTGGACCCCAGCAATGACCCTAGAGTAGACCACTACTGTCCACCTTCTATAAAGCGGGGACCAGAATATGCATGAGATCCAGACTGGTCCTAGTAACACTGTTTGACCTGGACACTGCCTATGTGTATCATCTTGATCTGTATATTTTTCATTTAAAGTTAACATAGTAGTTTCCTAGGCTCCATTTCATCTCGTGCTGTCAATAATCCTGTGAGATTAAGGAAGATACGATTTCCAACTAATAGCCAAGGAAACTGAGGCAGAGAGCTCACACCCTAGTAAGTGTCAGGGACTCATCTTTGCATCCAGAACATTCCTTTCTCTTCAAGATGCTACCCTGAAACTCTACTATCTTTTGAAATATTAACACATGCCCAGTGTATAACTCCCCACCAAAAAAATTTTTTTCAAATTTTAAGGGAAGAAATAAATAGTGTCACTTGACCTGTCTCATCCGGTGATCCATCCTGTACCTAAGGTGTGAGGTGGGATTTGTGGCCACTTGAAAAGTAGGACTTACCCACTGGGGATAAACATGGACCCAGTTCCTGAAGTCATCCCTGACACCTTCCACGGGACGTGAGCCCTCCCCACTTGGAGGCTGCCTTGGGGACAGCTACTTGGACACCAGGACAAACACATTCCTGGGGACCTGAACAAGCAGAAGGAGCAGCTGGGGTGGAAGCCTGGCTCCTCACCTCCTGTGTGCCTGCCTCAGCGTCAGTCATGGCCACCACGGAGAAGTCCCCGTACCGGTCTCCATTGGTGTCTATGGACACCTGCCCGGCAATACCTGGAGGACGAGATGAGAAGAGCACCCGGTTAGTTACTTAAAATACTGCCTGCTGCCAACAAAAACAAGAAAACGAATTGACAGGATATTTTAAACAGACTCATGCCACAGGGACTCGCATCAGACACCGAGCGTTTTTGTTGGCATTTGGGAAGACATTGTAATTTCATCTGTGTCTGCATTCCTAAATTCTTAGCATTTCTCCATGTAATAATGAAAAGAAAAAGAAATAAATGACCTTCTTTGAGAAATATGTTTTTTAAAAAAGAAGAGTAAGGCTAATCCTGAAAGCAGCCGGCTTACATCCGAGTTTTCTATTAATTCAAAACGAAAACGAAGGGCCAGGAGGGAGAAGTGGAGGTGCAGGTTGTTCTTACTCTTTAATGGGTTCCCATTATTACTAGACAAACATTGTAAAGGAAAACCCATTCCCAGCCCAGGACCCAGTGAATGCACTTTGCTCTGGGCTCCTTCGATGCCCAGGAGAGCAGAGGGCCTGCCTCAGGGATCACGGGAGTGTGTTCATTCATTATTTTGTCTTTGTTTTAAAGAGTTTTTTCCAGTTTTATCAAGATATAATTGACATACATCATTGTTTGAGTCTCACGTACACAGCATAAAGTTTTGAGTTACATAGATTGTGAAATGATTACCACACTGAGTTCAGTTAATATTCATGATCTCATGCAGACACAATAAATCGTCCAGTTTTTATCCAAATGTTTCTAGGTGACTACTAAGTGTTGACTACAAGGCAAAGATGAATTGGCCCTATCTTCTACTCAAGAGCAGGGTAGCCAAGAGTAGGAACTTAGCTTGTAGGCAGTGGAACGTAAAGGTTTGCAATGGGATCCCAGCATTCACAGTTACAAGCTCTGTGCCCTTGAACAAGGACTTGGCCCTCTGAGTCTTAGTCTCCAGGACTATAAAAGAGCCACAACAGTACCTCCCAGCCAAGAGGCCGTTGAGGACAAGAAACAGGCCCTTGCAACGAGTTTGACAGAAGTTGGTGGTTTTCTCCTGTTCTTATTGCTGCTGTCGCTCTGCCTGAAGTCCAGGAGAGGACCTCTGACCACACTCACTCTGCTCGGAGGAGGAGGAGGAGAAGGACTCAGCGAAGAAGCAGGTCTTTCGTAGGAACGCTGCTGGAGTTTGTGATTTGGACAAGCAACCATCAGAGAGTGAGAGCATTTGAGACAGAAAGGCCGGCCATGTTAGTATTTACAAAGGCACAGAAGCTGGGAAGAAGCAGAGTGGCCAAGAGGTTTCTGGGAGATGGCCCGTGTGCGAGGAAGGGGGCAGTGAAATGTGTGGCTGGAACAGAGTGGCTGGAGCGTGGGGAGCCCCGAGTGCCCTCTTGGAGGCCTTGTTCTTGCTTTGGCTAGCAACGGTGGCTTGCAGCAGCTAATCCATTAAAGCAAATAGGTATCATTAGTTGGTATTAAATGTCTATATCACAATGTTCATTAACTAAATAATAGAGTGAATAAGGCTATTTGTTTGTGTTTATTTCAAACTGTGGCAGAGTTCAGTGTAATTGTTAGTTGATTTTTCCATTGATCTGGTTCTCTCCGGAAGTAAAATGAATGTCTGGGAAAAGGGTTCCCAAGGGAAAGTTCCATCCTCGAGTGTGGTTTGGAGAAGGCAAGTATTTGGGTTTACTGTCCGTGGGCTGTGGTTTGAAGGCCCGCCGATGTTCCCAGACTTTGCTCTACTTTGCCAGAAACAGAATGGAGCTACCATTCATCTGAATGTTTTGTCTTCTGAATATAGACTGGTTACAAAGAATACACCTATCTCAAACTTGCTTGTCCTTGACAGCCTATACAACTTTTAAGTAATGTCATTTTTTTAAAAAATGCATCTATCTCCAAATATATCGCTTATCCGAAACCTTTTTTAATTCTGTCCAAAAGGGTTTATAATGGTGTGTTCTATAAGTGTTTTCGCAGAGTATCTTATAAGACAAGATGGCCCTCGTAATCCAAGACCTCATTACACTTTAAGCTATTACAATTCCATCAAGAAACAAGGTGAGATCCCTCAGGGTGGCCACTTAGCAAGTGAGACTTCACCTGAGAACATTGTACCTAAGGTGCGATTGTCAGGCTGACAGCAGAATTTTCCTGTACATCAGTAATGAGACTTCCCCCCTCGTTTCTGTGGGCCTGTCGTGGAGCTCAAGGTTGGAGCCACAGTTCTATTTACCTTGTCACTCTGACCTCTCACACACACAGAGGAAATTTAGCTTCTTCCCAGGCCATGGTTGAGAGTTGGTCATAGGTTTCTCGGTAATAAAATCTAAATTTGTCAAACAACATCCAGAGTATTTTTCCCTTGAGAACTTAATGGTCACTTATGGTGACCATTAAAATGAAAATTGTTTTTAATTTTAGAAAAGTGAAAGTTTTCTTAGAGTTTTTTTATAAAATGGAAACTTACTGTGGCTTCGATTATCTTTACATTTGGACAAAGGAGATTCTAAGTTTAAGCTGAACTATAGCTTGGTTGTTTTACATTTCATATTGCCTGTGCAGACCCAGCCCAAGAATGAAAGATCAGGATGGTCTGTGAGTGAATGTAATCCATGCCCCCTACACGAAACTGAACTCCAGCCATTGTGAGCAGGCCTGCTCTTCCCTTAACAACCTCCCTCAAACGACCAAGACCAAACGACCACCCCACATAGTGAGGAACAGCTAAGAATGGGCTGTGGCCTACCAAGACTGTGTCTACACACACACACACACCAGTTTCTTGGTATATTGGGCACAACTTCTGGGAAACTTGACTCTGTCCTAATATGACCCCTGAACCATCCCACTTGATTGCAGCTCCTCACCTGAAGCAGTCAGAGGTCAAGCAAATCCTGGAGACTTATTAGTTCCCATCCTACAATCTCTCTAAAGGTAAGCAGATGTCACTGTAGATTTGAGTAAGGTGTGGCATCCACTAAAACCAGCTAGGAGTAATGAAATCTACCAATGGCCACCATAGCTAGGCCCAGACATTTCCAGATGGAACTTGACCCCTTTCTACAGCTCTACCCCTTCTACTAACTGGAAACAGAATGAGACAGTGGGGTGGAGAGGAGTCTCAACTGAAAAAAGTGTGTGCCTCAAATCTAGACTTGGCAGTACTCGTTCCCATTATTGAAAATGTCATCGGTTGGATTGCAAATAAGTATAGACCTAACCCCAGTGCATTAAAGGCCTCAAAGGAAGAGTTAACCTGATGTAGAACTGAAGGACCCTTGCCAGTCATCAGCTGTTCCAACCCTCTCATAATAGGTGATGAGAGAAGCTGAGGGACTGAGAGTGGTGTCAGGGGCTAGGATGTGGGGGTTCTGGTCTAGTGATCTGTACTCTGTGTCAGTGGTTTTCACATGATACCCATCAGCATACTACAGTTTAGTTCCCACATAGCCCCCATTAAGGATCACTTTAAAAACTCAGGAATGATCATGTCCTTCGAAACCCTCTGGTGGCTTCTATCTCACTCTGGGTGGAACCCAAAGTCCTTGGCACAGCTTCCAGGTCCCCATGATTTCAACCCCCCACTCTCTGCCTTTGGCCCCTATCACACTGCCTCTTGCATGTTCTGCTTCAGCCGCCTTGCTCATCTGGGGACACAGGACTCTCCCACCAGACACAGTCAGGATCTCTGCATTCACTGCTCCTTCTGGAATGTTCTCTCCCAAACATAATTTCTTTCACTTCCTTCAGGTTTCTTCCCCACTGCTACTTATCAGAGAGACCTTCCTGATCACTCTAATTAAATTAGTAGCCCCACCCAATGTTTTCTATCTCCCCATCCTGCTTTACTTTATAGCCCCTGAAATGGCATATTTATCAATAATTGCTTATCACTAGTTCCCTCCACTACATGGAAGTCCATATCATTGCAGGGAATGTCTTTAGTTCACTACTAAATCCTCAGTACCTTGAACAGTGCCTGGGCACATAGTAGGTGCTCAGGAATATTGGATGCATAGATGGATGGATGGATGGATGGATGGATGGATGGATGGATGGATGGATGGATAGCAAGTTGAGGCCTGCAGGGCTCTGGCAGCTGAATCATTCTCATTCTGAGTCTCGTTAATTTTCCTGGAGTGCTAGCGAGGCCAGAGGAAACCAGGACTCTATACACTGTTAGCAAGACTGTAGACTGGCAGACCTCTCTGGGAGACATTTGGCAATATCTAATGTACTTTAAAAAGCACCAACATACTTTGGGGCCCAGACATCCCAGACAACTAGGAAGGTTCCCTGTCAGATGTACTCCCCAAAATTCATCAACATGTTTTAGATGCTTGTGATAGTATTTTGCATAATAGCAAAAACTGTAAACAACTGAGGTGTCCATCAGGATACTGGTTAAAGAAATTCCTCTACAGCCATATGGTTGAAAAATATGGAACTATCATCAAAAAATGTGCGGAATCTATGAGTGTTCATATGGAAAATCCTTGGCACTCAAGTTAAAAGGCAGTGACGAAGCACGGCATTCATGGTATGATCCCTAAGGTATAAATGTTTCAGATAAGATATAACAGAAATGCATACGTGCTGGCAAAAGACACAAAATATTTTTAGACTGAATCATAGGGAACTGTTAGTAGTGACTACATTGGGAGAGGGAACCAGGGCAGGAAGGAAAGCTTTTACTTTTCATTTTGTACACTCTTATACTATTTAAAATTTCCATCCAAGAATATTCTCATTTTTGTATAACTTTTTAATGTCAACAGAGGTTGCTTGAGTGATGAGATGATGGGCCATTTTTGGGTTGTTGTTCTTACACTTCTCTGTTCTTAAGAAAGCCACAGTGAACAGACATCCTTTAAAAAAGTAAAATAAAAGCAGAGGGCTCGCCTGACCTGCTCATCATCTCAGACTACACAGGTTTGAACAGAGAAATGTATGCCTGGGACTTTTCCTTTTAAAACTGATTACAAAGCTCTTCACAAACTGATTACTTGCTGTGAATGAAGCTTGTGAGGAATTTAATTTTAAGAAGCAGGGAGTTCTTACCCCAAAATCAGGAGACAGGACACTTCCCATTTCAGTGGGACTCCTTCAAAGCACTTGCACATGCTTCATGTCACTCAGTTTTCACAGCAAGTTTGCAGGGTGGGTTGACCTTGACTTACTATCCTGACTTGACCACTGAGAGAAGCAAGATCCCGTGGTTGTAAGCGAAAGAGAACCAGCAAGCAGCAGCTCGCTGGGCTGCAGAGTGTCGTCACCTAATGGACTGAATCCTCACCTTCAAATGTTCTGTTCCAAGTCTGCTGGATAATTTTCCCTCCATCCTTCTTGCTGTAACCAGCTCTGAGTACTTCGTGTAAAGCCAGGACGTACAGGAGAATGGCATCATGGAATCCTTCAACAAACATGTTAACCTGAAAAGGAAACCCCAGCTGGGTGAGACCAAACAACAAATGACTCATGTGGAGGGAGAATATGAATGAATCAAAATGGTTAACAAGTTAGACCCCAGGCCCTCAAGCGTGGCAAAGGTGGACAGAAGAGCTGCTAACAAGAATCATGACATGATTCTCCAGGTTCTGACTTACTGAGGAAAACCCTTCCTCAATTTGGGAATTTGGAAAGAAGACAAGATTATACAAAAAAACTGGACCTGTTGACTAGGTCAAGTCAACAGGGACATCAGCCTTTGCTCGTAGCTCCCACCTCACATGTGCCTCCTCCATCCCCACATTGCTCTCTTCTTCAAGCCAACTGAGTCCAGCCTCCCCCCTGAGGTCTTCTCCACCTTCAACAGCCCCTCCAGGCTCTCCGTGCTCTGAATGTGGAATATGACTGAAATACGCATTCGAATCCATTGATTCATATTCAAATGCCGTTGAATGCCTACTAGAATGCTAAGCATGCGGAGCCCAGTCAGCACAGCCATTCCTGCCTGCCGGCATTCATGCTCTCTGTCCTGTCAACAATAACATCTCAGCTTCTCTTTCTAATGTGTGTTCTGAGAAGCTTCAGTGCACCTGAGCGCTTCTTGCTCCACTGCCTGCCACGCTCCCGGGGCAGGAATAGAAACAGATCTGACCATTGTTTGATCCCGGTTGAGTCCTGCTTCAAGGAAGGTAGCCCTTGGCCTCAAGAAACTTACAGCTTTGTGTGAATTTGGAGAAGTCAACTTAAATCTCTTTGAGCCTTATTTCTTTCTTTTTTTTTTTTTAAAGATTTTATTTATTTATCTTTAGAGGGGAAGGAAAGGAGAGAGGGAGAGAAACATCAATGTATGGTTGCCTTTCGTGCATCCCCTGCTAGGAACTGGCCTGCAGGGAACCTGCCTGCAACCCCGGCATGTGCCCTGACTGGGAATCGAACCGCGATTGTCTGGTTCGCAGGCCCGTGCTCAATCCACTGAGCTACACCAGCCAGGGTCTTATTTCTTTCTATAAGCACCATTTGGTAAGCTCTAATACCATATTTAACCCCGATGTAACATTCACCAAACATGAAATAAGCAAATACAATCCTGAAACACTGCAGAGCTTACAGATTCTGTACAAAAGTACAACAAAAATTAAACCTTATTTCAGGAGAAAGTGTTAAGAATGGCATACCATACAAAAAAAATGAATTGGACGTCCAATGAACAATCAGGTTGAGATTTTGTGAATGCTGTTCCCTGCCCCACCCCTAGTTCAAATACAAAACCATTCACAGAAAACACAGCTCAATGTCCAGCTCTACTTGGCCTTATCCCACTCACCCCAAAGGATGATAAGTCCTCTTTGTGTCCCAGAAGGAAATAGTTCAGATTTGTTAAAGCCTACTACTGAGAGGCAGGTTGGAATAATGGTTAAAGAGCCTGGGCCGCTACCCAGCTTTGCCACTTCCCAGCTGTGTTTCTGGACCTGTCTGGGTCTCAGTTTTCCCATCTGGAAAATGAGGCAAGTGGTAATACCTATCTTCCAACGTTGCTGTCAGGCTTAAACAAATCCATAGGTGGAAACGGTGCCTGACAGTCAGTACTCACTGTGAGTTTTTGTTGTTGCCATTGTCTAGAGAAAGGGGACAACACCCTGGTTATGTTGTAGTGATCAACTTAGTGGCATAGCACATCTTATGGACCCATTTGATGCTTACCGGAAACAAAGGCTCCTTGTTCATGCTTTGACACCCCAAGTAGTTCTCTTACTTCCACAATGTCCACCCTTAGTTCCACTCGAGTATGGGTGCAGCCCAAGCTGGCCAAATGCTCTGACCCTCCGGGATGAGTGGAGGGTGGAAGAGCATGCTCGTTCACAGGAGACCTCTGAGTTAGCTGCTGGACCCAAAATCTAATCCTGGCCCTGCTGAGTGACTTAATCTGTCCAACCTTCCATTTCCTCATTGGTTTAGTGGGGGTTAGTGCCTACTCATCTCACGGAGCTCTCCTGGAGATTAAATAAATGAGTGCATGTAAAACATCTCAAACAATCCCTGGGACTGGGAAAGCAAATCCTAGGCAATCACTCTTGCTCTTAGCCATCAAGCTTAATTCTCAGAGTCATTATTTTCTTAGGCAAAGCAGAGTGTGTAGAAATAACATCTACCAGTCAAAGATAATTTTCTGCTGATTCGGCTATGCTAATTCAATTCTCCAAAGGCATATGAAATTTTCACTTACACCATGAAGTCATCCTGGCTTGAAAAAGCATGCATGCTGACGAGTTAGTGAGTTTTAATAAGTAAACTTTAGCTGTGTAACTTAATTCTCAGGCCCACTAAAAAAAATTCAAAACTCTTTCTTCTCTTTGGTAAATATACAAAAACAACCCTGCTACAGAGAGAAGTCACAGAATCACAGAGCCATGGAATATGGAAGATGGAAGGCATTTTAGAAAAGCTTTGGTCTGATCCTCTCCTTATTCCAAGGACCAAAGAGCATCACTCACTCCGAACCTTCCTGCACTCTGTGACGCACGGTTGTCCCTTTATGCTCCGTGTTCCTGGGGAGCCTAGGGGAGCCCCTGCTTCAACTGCAAAGTACCAGCTGCTGGGCATCACCTGTCCACCTCCCTTCCTCCTCTTCTTGACTGCTTCTCAGAATCCTAACCCAAGGCCACCACGCTACCGTAGGCCCCCTGAAGCTCTGGACGTGTTCCCAATACCACCCCTCAACTGGCTCTTCCCTTCCTTCCTTTTTGATGTTCCCTCGGAGCTGCCCCCTCTACAACCCACAGTGGGAAGAGTGATTATCTGGCTGAGAAGCATGAACTTGGGTTACTTTTGTCCTACCAGGTTTTATGGTAGAAGAGAATAGATTGGTTCTGAACATATGCCCAGCCCTGAAAATTCATTCTATCTTAATTTGCTAATGGATCGCAAACTTTACTTTCTTTCCTTTTAAAGTAGCTAAGTGTCTCCCTGCCCTGCCAAAATTAGCAGGACAGCTGCTGACCCCCACCGAGGTTTGCTGGCACCCCAGCCTGCTGCGGAGGAGGTTTCATAACACCTACCTCATAGGACCTCAAGCCAGAAGCAAAACCCTAGAGACTTCCTTTCCTTGAGGAGAACATTCTCACATCCACACGTGTTTTTAAGTGGGAGGAAAGCCCGTTAGCACATTACAGACATTGGAAGTGCAAATTTATAAATAAAGAAATGAAGAAGGGAGAAAAAATCCAGAGCATTAAATAGCCTTTGTAACACTTTCCACTGGACCTCCAGGCTCCAAGGAACAAGGTCACCCAGTCAGCCCCCTGCCTCTGGTCCTGACCGACAGACTGCACTGCTGTTACGGAGGACAGGAATTAGGGTTCCCTCTCCTGACTGCCCTGTTCTAGTACTTAGCATCATTTCTGGCCAGAAAGCTCTCCCTTACTGTCATTAGTCATAAATCCTAATTAAATTCCTCAGTGCAGCAATGCCCCTGCTAAATGCTGAACAAGCAGTGAAGGGAACAATGAATTCATGAGCCCTGGGAGTCTACGGTCTCAACCAAATAGTGTCCCGGCTCCATACGGACTCTGTGCAAGGCAACTGTGAAGTGGCCTATCACGAGGGACCAGCCCCAGGTGACCACTGTCCGTGTGGTGTGTCATTCAAACGAGACAGAAATCATGCATTGTCTCTGCTCATCCTGGAAACTTTGCCAGAACCCAGCAGCACGCTGGCATTGACTCTCCCACCATTTCAGCTCAATTCTCTTGATTTTCCCTCTGTGGCTGGCCAGTGGTAGGTATGCCAAATGAAAGAATGCCGTTTTTGCCTTTGGCCTTTCCCTCTCATTGCACTTGTCAGTTATGTCTATTTATTAGTGTTGGGTTTATTTTTTAACCTATCATGGGGAAAGCTCAATAGAAATCTTGCATATTTTAACTGAGCACAAAGAGTGGCCATTCATGACATGGCTCCTATCTGTGACAGGAGTGAAGTCTTTCTCATTCCTCTTTGAGGAGGCAAATTCCAGAGGAATTCCTCAATGCTGTGTTCCAAGGACGAAAGTAAAGAATGTCGCCTGGCTGGGCTGTCCTGTAAAGTGAGAGGGAACAACACGGCAGTCATCTGCCTCCCGGGTCGTCTGGGTGTCTGAGAAAGCCTGTGAAGCTCTCACACAGAGGCCATGGGGAGAAAGCAACCAAAATTAAATGCAAGGCTGGGCTGCCCCAGGGTCTTGCTTATGGTGTTCATGTGAACTCAAGCACATCACCAGGGGGCTCTATCTTCCTGCCCACACACCAGTGGTCCCCAGCACAAGGGAGGAAAGTGGAGAGTGCTCGGTAGCACATCTCAAGAGTCTTTTCAAGCACATGACCCTTAACCTCCCATAGGGTTGAAGAGAAGATGGAGGGAAGGGAAATTTGAGAGATGAATTCAGGACCTGTCTTTCCCCATCACAGCAGAAACAATGGCAGAGTATCTTATCTAATTGGTAGTACGACCCTGAAAATGAACCTGTCCTCCCCTCCTAGGTCACAGGAGATGGTGGCCAGCAGAGGAGGGTGGCCTGGGCATGCATCCCAGGCAGGTCAAAAGTTAAAGAAGATTATGCATTTCATGAGCACTGTGCACGTGACATCCATACAATAAAAATATAGATATCGTTTTCATTCCATTTTCTTTTGAATCATAGAATTTTAAATCTACACCTTAGAGTAACAGCAGGAACTCCATAAGTGAAGTGATATCACAACCTCCTCAACACCAAAAAGGGGGTTCTTACTCTTGCTGACACCATAACATTTGTTCTTCTATACTGGGCCTGCCTTCATGAAATTCACCCTTGCTCACTTGCTGACTTCTTTCAGCCTTAAAGAGAGTGAAGCTGGAAGTCTTCATCCCCATCCTGGTTCAACTCTGAGGAAATGCAAAGGACGGGTGTCTTACAACAGTCAGAAGATCAGGGAGAGAGCCAGGGTCCAGCCCTGTGCCTGACTGAAGCACC